ATGAAATTTCTCGGGATATCAACAAAAGTAGGCTTCTTTCCAAGATAGAATTGATTTTTATCCCTTTTTTGAAAATTTAAGATTTCTACATGTTTGATGATGTCATTTTTTTGTGAAATTATGTATTTACCTTTTTCAAATATTCATTCTTTCTCAAATCATTTATTATTCTCTCTCTGCACTTCATATTTTCTCCCTCTTCCTAAAATTTTTTTTTTTCATCTCCACCTCCTTCGATTTACGTAATTTTACTAAAACAAAAATTCTTCTCCTTTGGTAAAATTATAAAAGAAGGAAAAAGAAGTATGTTTTTTCATCTTTCTTTCTTAACCTATCGAAAACCCCTATCTCTCTATAAAATTAATTAAAAAACAACCACCTACTAGATCCTCTCTCTCTACTAAAAATAGGGTTACTTTCTTGGTTCTCTCTAAAAAAGTAAAAACCCTACCAGCTGCCCCCTGTCCATTGTAATCCATGTCCTTCCTCTGCGCCTTCATCACACGCTCCACCAAGATCGGCTGCTGCATAATCTTGCCACCATCACCATTGCCGGATCCGGTACGGACAATCCAATCGAGAGCAAGAGATCTAGAGTGAGAGAGTGAGATCAAGAGCGAGAGAGCAAAAGTGAGAGAGATCTGAAAGATTTTAGTGAGAACGAGAGAGAGAGCGAGAACAAGAACGAGAGTTAGAGCTAGAGCGAGAGAGAGAGAACGAGAAAGATCTAAGAGATTTTGGAGGAAATGAGAGCGAGATAGATCTGATAGATTTGGGCGAAAACAGATCTGAAATCCAAATAGATTCAAGTGAAAATAGATTTCAGATTTGGACAATTCGTTGAAGACGTGGTTCAGTCGTGTGACCTTCTAGAGCCGCCGCCTCAATATCCTCTCTCCAACGTAGTCGATGTTCATCCTCCTCTCCCATGTTTCTAAACAAACCACAACTACATTTTTTTTTTGCAATGATATGCAACAACTCAAGCGTATCCACTTGAATCCAATCGTAGAGTTGGTTCAACCCGAAAGACTAAGGGTTAGAGAGATTACCTGTGTAGTCATTACCTTGAGTAGACAGATGACTCACTATGACGAGTTTCATAACCAATCAAACAAGCATGCTCCTAGGGGTTCAAATACGAAAGCCTAAGGGATTCGAAATTTGAGAAGGTGTTTGTACAAGACAATGAGAGAAACACTAAACTCAATGTGATTCAATATTCGAAAGATATGTGCCTCACAAAGGAAGGGGTACATGCCTATATATAGGCCAAGGCCAAAGGAAATCTTTTCCTTAAAAGAATGGAGTGGGTGGCAAGGCAAGTTGGGGACACCCATAGGGGGTGGCAACATCAATGGTGGAGGTGCCCATGGGAGGTATGGTGCGCGCGCAAGGAAGCTANGGACATGGATGTGGTGTGGTGGCTAAGTTCAATCTATCCACTATATAGGTGCTAATTACATTAGTGCAACTACCACTATCAATACGAACACTACAAGGTGTGATATTTATTATGCATCTAGTGTAAAAAAGATTATCTCTATGTTCCTCCAAGGAATCTTCCCTAGATTGTGCATTGAGAGATCTCCTAGCATCTAAAAAGTACTTACATTGTGGACTTACTCCTTCTTCTTGGGAGTTAGTGGTGGCTTCTTGTGAACTCTTCATTCTTGACTCTATAATTACACAAGCAAAGGTTAGTATAAACAAAAAAAAATTACTCTCACTCCCTTACTTAACCTCTCGGCTTCCTCTCCTTTGGTAGGGTGGATGTTGGTGTGGATACCCTGTGGAGATGCTCACTTGAATGCTCGTGGCGAATCGGTCTTAGAACAAGTGAATATAAGCCTACAAGCAACTTGCAAAAAAAAATATCCTTCTTTTTTTTTTTTGACTAAGGTCCAATGGTATAGATGATACCAAAGACAAGACTCAAAAGAATACCAAATGATAGTTACAATGATACCAAATGATAGTTATGAAGAATAAGGCAAGATATGAACAAGAATGATAAAGACAACCTTAAGCCTAATGCTCTTGGTTCTAAAGACTTAACAACAATATACAAATTGAAGTTCAAGCTAAACAAAGAAAAACTTATGCAAATAAAGTCAATGAAATAAAAAATAAAACTAAAAAGATGTACAAAATCCAATTTGTAGTGCAAACACACACAAAAATAAACTTACCAACAAAACAGTGGACTTTGAGGTAAATAGGGTAGTTTTGGGTTAGGGGTGTGTGATGTGTACAACTCGGATGGGGCTCCAACTAGTGGCAAACGTTAGCACAACAAGTGTACTTAAAGTATGTGGGCTACCAAAAGGTTTGGAGTTCGTTGGAGGGGGCTGCTCTCTCAAAGAAAATTCTAGGGCTGCACAATGGACTCTCTTGGGTGGCCCAGTGGAGGTGGCGGTTGCCTTCCTTTTTTTGAACTATCCAAATAGGTCAAAATAATCCAACAATAATTTTAAATCAAAATATAATTAGTGTTAGAATTACTTGCCAAAAAGAAATTCATTTGGACAAGATTTGATAGCCCAAATAATTTTTCTAAAAAATGTCCAGCTTCAAATTTGGAAAGTTTTTTGCTTGAATACCTTCTCTTCTTTCACTGATAACTTATGCTACAGACCTCGGATGATAGCGATCTATATGTCCCTAGAAAACTCTTTCAAATACCTTTAATTTGATTTCTAATTTGACTATATTCAGCAAAAAGATCAGCAAGATATCAATCATCAAATTTGGAACACTGTTTCTTCAGCGGCTGCAGGATTTCCAGATTACACAGTGTTTTTGAAAAAAGCAATAACTTCCAAACCACTCATCAAAATTTATCGATTCTAAGCTTTATGGAAAGCTAACTCATAAATCTTTTGAATGACACTAGTTTCACTCAATTTAGACTTCTGAACAAAAAGTTATGAATTTTTGAAGTTGGCTATGGGTTTATGCTCTCTGCAGGTTTCTCTCAAAATCTGGGGTTCGAGGAAAAATTGATAACTTTGGCTATAGAGCTCGGATTAATGTGAAACTTGGTTTGTTGTAAAGCTTTTGAGGTGCAGAACACAAACAAACCAATTTTGAACACTTTAAAGCAATTTTTGAAATCAAAAATTCTTTGCAAGAATGATAGATTGAATGGCACATGGAAGAAGAACAACAATTGAACTTTTTATGAGATTTTTGGATAAAGAAATGTAAAGACAAGATTGAAATTTAAAGACAGAAAATAAACATATATCCCGGTCTAAAGCCTAAGCTCTGATACCAAATAATACGCGACAACCCAAGCGTATTGAGCTACTCGAGCCACAAGCCACTTGAATCCAATCGGGCCAGGGTTAGAGGGATTACCTTTGCAGTTGTTATCTTAAGCAAACAGATTACTCACTATGCTCGAGGCCGAAACACTCCACGAGTTTGATGACCAATCAAACAAGCATGCTCCGAGTGGTCAAATACGAAGACCTAAGTTCAACAATACAAAGGGATTCGAAATTTGAAGGGGGTTTGCACACGGCAATGAGAGAAACATTCATCTCAATTTGATTCAATATTTGAAAGATAAGTACCTCACAAAGGAGGGGGTACATGCCTATATATAGGCCAAGGCCCCTTGGCCTCTTGTAAGGTTAGTACAGCGGGAGTGTGCGGGAACTTGCATGGTAGGCGGGTGGTGAGCGCGCAGGCAGGTGGGCGTGCAACGGTGTGTGCTGGCATCTAGAGGGACGCGTGCAGAGCGAGCGACTAGGTGGTTGGCACATGTGTTGGGGCATGCGCGCGGTGAGCGTGCACGCGGGCGCTGTCGTGTATGGGTGCACGATGACGCTTGCGGCAAGAGGCAATGTCGAGCATGCGAAGGGCGTCACCTTATGAGGTTAGCCAATGATGGTTGGGTGCGCCGTGTAGTCATTGTGTGTGCTTGCTCTCCGATCGTAGTTATTTTCTTGGATCCTCCTTGAAATTCATCCTTCTTTCAGGGGGCTTCCCGTCTTTATCTTCCTCTTCACTGTTGTGGGTTGATTCTTGGGTTGCCCGACTATGATCACATCATCCAATTTGAGAATTTATGTGGTTGTATCCTATTATCTCTTTTGGGTGGAACTTGACTTGAATTCCTACTTGACTTATTCTCTTTTTTATGGCTATTTGATTTTTTTAAAATTTTAAAGTCCATTAATGCATGAGAGAGGAGTAAGAGAGATAGTAGGAAAAAAGAGAGAGGTTTTTCTTGGTGTTGTTTGAATTTTGAGATCCAACAATGGAGTCACAAAGACGAGGTTGAAGGAAAAAAATCAAGAGGGAGAATGAGAGAGGAAGAATAGCAAAAAATTAGAATAAGAAATGAATGAGAGAGAGAAGGGAAATAAGGATAAAAAACCTTTAAAGAGAGGGAGGGGAGAAGATGAAAAAGGGAAGAAAAAAGGAAAATGAGTGATTTGAGAAGAAGGGTAAAAATATAATTTCACATGAGTAAATGTATAGAAAACTTATATTTTTAGAAGAAAGGTAAATCAACGATGTCTTGAAAAGATGGCTACTTGGTCCAAAAACCCAAATTTCTAACTCATTTTCTCATCTTTTTTTTAAAGCCCTGCATCGATCTCGTTGAACCAACCTATAATTTTGCACATGCCACCTTCTAATTTGTACAAGCCAATTTTAAAGTGATGGACTAAATCACTTTCACAAAAGTATAAAATATAAAGATCGAAGGTATTTTTTAACTTTCTATTTTTGGATTGAAATTACTACTCAATATTAAAATATTATATTATATTATTAATAATATAATATTCTGCAAGTAAACTGTTGTATTTCTATTTTAATTCATTATGAACATGTAAAAGAAAATTTTAATTGTCAAAACGACAATTGACATATATGTCTAATCGAGACTATATTCCATTCTATTCTTGCTACTGTACTAAAAGATATGGGATAAAAGAAACTTTTTTTACACTAACCGCATTCCCCTCGTCTTACCCACCACTACCCCCTCACACTGTCTCAAGTCTCATCGTATCACTCAAAAGAAGGGAAAATTGCCCTACTCCCTTTATTTTATGTGTCCCTCTCTCGCCGTAGGTTCAGCCCCGGCCTCCGTCAGAATCTTTCTTCTTCAATCGACGAGCGAGCGGCGGCGACAACCCGCAGCCCACGAACCTCCGACGCCGACGCTTTCCCTCTACAGCGGCGGACCCACGACTCTCCCTTAGCTTCGGCAACACCAGTACCGGCGGCGGCTTTTCGCGGCCGCAGCTGAACTTTGTAGATTTTTCTTTGGCGTTGATACGACCGAAGTCTCAGAAAAAACGCGTTTCAAGGCATGGAAGTTAACCTGGGCGGCATTCCCTTCGACTTGGACTTCCATCCATCCGAGCAGTTGGTTGCAGCTGGTCTCATCGACGGCAATCTTCTCCTGTATTTCGTCTCTCATGCCTTCTATTTCTTTTGTTTTTCCTCCATCGCTTCTCAATTTCCACGTTCGTCTTTGCAGATATCGTTATAATGCTAATGCTTTACCCCAAAGGTATGAAAATCTCGTCATATCAATTTAATTGAACTGCTCTTCCTGCAGTACGAGTAGTCTATTCATCATACTTGTTCAAATTTTACCGTCTATCTCAGGCTCTTGAAAGTTCGTGCACACAGTGAATCTTGCAGAGCCGTTCGGTTCATCAATGACGGACGTGGTATTGCTTTGATTTTGTACTGTTTTGGCAAATTATCGGTGTTTTTCTTTTACCCACAAATGATTGGTTTATGGTTTGTAAATCAGCAATTTTGACGGGCTCTCCAGACCATTCCATTCTTGCTACGGATGTGGAGACTGGGTCTGTTATTGCTCGTCTTGAAGATGCACACGAGTAAGGATCCTTTCCTATTGGTCTTATGCTGTCCTTCTTTATACAAGTTAATGCAATATAACATGGAGTAGTCTACTCAATTCTGCAGTGATGCGGTCAATAGATTGATTAACTTAACCTCGGAAACCATTGCTTCAGGAGATGACAATGGGTGCATCAAGGTTCCTTTTCTTGTCCTTTTTGTCATTCTCTTCTCTGTTTCCTAGTATTACGTTTTCTCAATTCTTTGAAGACCTAACTGACCTGGAAAAGTGAAAAAAGTCGAGAGAGAGAGAGAGTGTGAGCATGATGAAAAACATTCCATTTCTTAAAGTCACTGAACTGTAGAATATTATTATAACCTATATGTAAGTGACAATGAGTATGAGTAATGATTAATGAACAGCTCTGACATTCTACTACTGTTGATTTTTTCTTAATAAAATTAGCTACTACTACTACTACAAATGATTTCAGTAAATCTGTTAGGAACAAGGATTGCCAAAGTGTCTTAGCTGTTGATTTCAGTAAATTTGTTTGTAACAAGGAGTGCCAAGTGTCTTAGCTGTTGAGGCAGGCTAAGTTGGAGAAAAAGCCCTTAAGCAGGGACAGAGGTAACAGTCATAAGTAATAAGTGCCCTAGTCCTTTTGTTTATTATTTGAAACTCTGAAGGACTATAACAATTTTCTAATGCATGAGATAGAGGCTGTCCAACTTCATGTGCTTAATGCAAGAATGAATTATTGGATTGGTAACCAATGAACTTGCTCTGATGTATACAGTAGACTATATTGCAGTCCCTTTAAAAGAAGCACTTAATGTGGACAACATGGTCTGTAGTCACATTAACTTTATTTTCCTTATAGTTGAAGCTCTTTTTCTGACCCAACTAAAGACTACTATGCCTCTGTTTATTTTTTGGAGTGCAATGAAATGATTGTATAATAGAACACACTGCACACATAGTAACGACTAATGGACCTATGATTTTGAGGATCACCAGTCTTTTTTACATACATAGGGAGTCAAGAGTAACTCGCAAATCCTGAGTTATAGAACTGTTTATATATATATATAATTTTTTTGAGATGAAACAATTTCATTGATGATGTGAAATTAGAGGTACAAAAGGGAGAAAAACCACTTCAAAGGAGTTACAAAAAACCTCCCCAATTGGAAGCCATGAAAGAAATACTAAAGTGATGAAAGAGAGGGTAAACTTTACACCATGACACAACTAGATAGACTACATATTCAAATAAACGATCAAAAGGTTGCTCTCTGTCTTTGAAACCCTATGATTCATTTCTAACCAAATAGCCTAGAAAATCGCTTGAACAAAGTGCAACCAAAGGATCTTTTTCTCCTTTTTGAAGGGGTGCCTGAGTATAAACCAAGAGATGATGAGCTTCGAAAGGGAGAGGGGTGAACCAGCCAAACACAAAGAGAATTTTGCTCCATAAGCTTGCTGTAAATGTGCATTTGTTAAAGATGTGGCCTTGGGACTCACTGCTGTTTTTACAAAGAACCCAAAAGAACACACCAGTGGGGGAAAATATTCGTATAAGGCATTCTCCTTTGGAATTTGTCATGACTGTTGATAGCTTTTATGCTAACCTCCTATAAGAAGAACTTCACCTTTGATGGATAATGATCGCTCCAGATTATTTTATAAATGGGGGAGTTGTCGTCATTCCTCGAATTTTGAATCAAATTACGAAGCAGAGAGCTGGTAGAGAAATTACCCGATGGCTCCAAAGCAAAGAGCTAGTATAGAACTCTTTAAATATCTCAATAACTGTTTCTAAGCCTACATTCATGGGAGTCTTTAGAGCGAAGGCAAACTAATTGAGCATATTTATAGCATAAGGAATGCTTGGCATGTGAGGAGCATCTTCCCCTAGGATTGGCAACCAACTTATCCCTACCGGTGTGTGCCATCACCTGAAGAGCTTCTCCACTTTTAAATGTAAAACCAAGGGCAGAGAGGCAATCCCTAACCCCAACCACCAGACCCAACTGGAAGCTCTCCTTTGTTGATTTTCCCCTGCAGATTTCCTCAATCATTACATTCTTACCTTGATCGTCCTCACCATGGCCAACCCTCCTTCTGATCTCCCCTCCTTTAAGCCATCTGTTTCAGTATGAAAAGTTGGAATTACCCCATACAAAAAACAACTATAGATCGAAAAATTTTCACTATTGAGGTGGATGAACTCTTCAAAGGAAGCAAAGCTAGGATAAAGAGAAAAAGGCAAGGACTTAACTTCTCCCTCTCGACCATGTGGGCTTTTGATTCTTGGCTCTTCTCCATCTTTTGCTCCTCATCGGTTACCCCCTTAACCATAAGTTTTTCAAAGAACATCGTTGCGATGATTATGTCATCTGGGTTGAAAAACTCAACAACAAAAGAGGTTTTCTGGTGGAAGTCAACTAGCTGGACAACAATGGGGAAAAAAATAGACTTATGCTCCCATTGAGTATCGATAAGAAAATTGTTGAAAAGCTTTTCAAGCCCCCTCGACGGCTACCTAGATACTAAGAAAAAATCGGGGATGAAGGATCAATACACTAATCGCTTGATGATTAAGGAAGCTCTCACCTTTTATACCGTGGCTGCTGCACCCACCATTACTGTCTCACTAGAATGTATTAAAGAAGGACCACCAAACTAGCAACAAAACCTGTGCCATTAATCTAGCTTCAAAGAAATCCCCTCTTTTCCCTTAAGTCCTCGCTTGGAATTGATGGATCATTGTACAATGTCAATCCCTTCATGATTATTGATAGTCTATCCTTCAGACCATTCAAGCCCCTGCAAGTGAATTTTGCTCCATCTACCAATTCCAAGCCAATAGAGCCTTGCTCAGATGCAAAGATAGCAAACAGGCTGACTCCGTTTGCAATACCAAGGGTTGGCAAACTTTTGGCTCCTACTAGCCAGTGTTTTCAAGGCGACCCAAGGAGCTCGCCTTTGGCGAGAGGCGAGGGGAGAAGGCCAAGAGCCCATTTTACAACCCCAAGCTTTGACAATTGCTGTCATTTTCTGAGTGTCCATCCTTCAAAAAAAAAAAGCCCAAAAATTCAGATTTGTTGTAGTTGATGTTGAGGCTCGACGCCATCTTAGAGGCTTTGATGATCCTGTAGAGATTTTTTTATGCTATATGGGTCCTTTGTAAAAAACAATAGTGTCATTAGCAAAAAGCAAATGGCTAATGGTTGACCTCTATGGAGCCACAATTCAAGATATAACCTGTGATGAGGCCTCTGTTTCCTCTCAGAGTTATCAACAGACTAAGGACATTTGTGACCAAGATGAAGAGAAAAGGAGACGACGGATCTCCTTGTCTCAAGCCTCAAGTAGCAGTAAATTTGTGTTAGGTTCCCGATCATGGGGAAGTAACAAGATAACTATATTGCAATATCAAAGAGACTTACAATATCGATAGCCTTTCAAGAGGGCTATCTCTTTCCCGAGAACTATGCCAAGTTCCTCATCTTAAACTATTCCTCCCTTAATCCCTTTTCTCTCCCTACTTCCTCCATTTATGACCAACTCACCCCTATCTAATTAGCATAATGCCTCTAACTAATATACTTATACTATTCCAAACTATCACAGAACTTAGCCACAACACCATTAACACTCAAGGTTGAATGCAAATAAGGATGTCGTATATTGCTCTCTCCAAGCTACTTCCATCTTTGTTTTAAGAAGGCAGAAACACAGGGCCACCTTTTCATTTCTTGCGATTATGAAGATCTATGGTTGGCAAACAACTATGCACAACAATTCCAGCATCTTCCTTAATTCTCTGCTGATTGGTCATCCCTTCAAGAAAGAGGGAGAAATTCTATGGACCCACATGGTTAGGGCCTTCCTATGGAGCATTTGGATGGAAAGGAACAATATGATCTTCAATGGTACATCTCTCCCTTTTAATGTCTTTTTTGATAGAGTTACAGTGTTAGCTCTTGGATGGTGTAAATGCTCTTATCCTCCTTTCAATAGCTACACTCTCAATGATCTAGTCTCCAATTGGGAGGCCCTTTTGTAATCCTACCCATTGAGGCTTTTGTTTATTTTATATCATCAATGAGGTACATGTTTCTTACCCCAAAAAAAAGAAAAAAGTTACTTGGTGCTTATAATAAAAATAACAAACAGTTACTCAGTGGGAGATCTGATGATGAGTTTCATTTCATCACACTGGTCTTTTCGTTTTGCACCTTCTCCATGTTAAAATGTTGTGGTTTACTTTGATGTTCCAATGTTTTTGACTGGTTGATGTATTCTTCAAGGTATGGGATACCAGACAGCGTTCTTGCTGCAATACTTTTGAAGCTCATGAAGATTATATTTCAGATATGACCTTTTCATCAGATTCCATGAAGCTTTTGGCGACAAGGTAATCCTTGCTGTAACTACTGTTTCACTCTAGTTCTATTATCTTAAATGCTTGGAAGATTTCTCAAGTTTATTGAACCATGGGATTCTTTTAGGTAGACTGAGGTATGACAATATTTTGATATTGTCATCTCTTGCTGAAATTTATCATTTCTAATTTATACAGGTTTGAGATCATTTATTAAGAAACAAAATAAGGCTGTTTCTTATTTTTCTGGTAAAAAATAAGAGTTAAGAAACAACTTCATGAATTCCTATTTGTCGTCTTTTAGATACTCCTCTCTTCTTTAGTTTATAGAATTAATTGAGAAATTGAATGCATGGTGAATTATGTTAATAAATTAGGTAATAAGTTTGCTAGAACTTTACTTCTTTCATTTGATTGCCTTTCCTCATGCATTTTTCGTCTTTTGTTTTAAAGTGGCGATGGGACTTTATCTGTTTGCAATCTTCGGAGAAACAAGGTTAGTCCCTCCAAGTTATTAATAACTAATTTGTGTGGCTACAATGTGTGTATGAGTTTTTAACCGAAACATGAATTTTTACATTGACTACAAGGTGTGACTACAATGTGCTGTTAACCATATCATTGACTATTTTCATTTCTAGGAGCTGTTTTGATGCAATTTAAGCTTGATTTGAGTTTTCTGAAGTTAATTTAACATTTTCTTTCGGTTTCGTTGATTAGTCCTATTTTAATGCAGGTCCATGCTCGATCTGAGTTTTCGGAAGTTGAGCTGCTGTCTGTTGTTATAATGAAGGTAGCTTTACATGTGAAGTATCAATCATATTTCAGTCACGTATATTTGCTTTTGAAAATATTTTTGTCCCACCTAATAGTACTCTGGCCTGTCAATATTTACCAGGCTCGAAACTCTAAACTACCACCTACAGATTTGCATTTAAAAAAAAATTAATGAGTTTTTCATTCACTGCCTCCTTTTTATTTAGAAGCCACAAAAAACAATACAAGTTCTCACTTGGCTCAAAAATGTTTTGAACTTTCTTTCACCTTTTTCTATATGGACCGAAATCTCCATAACCCCCCCAATTTTTTTTTTTCTAATGCAAAGATAAAGAATTTCATAGAATTATATCTGAGAGTATACTTTGATATTTGTTTTATCTCTCATGGTCCACAAACATTGGGCTATTCAGCCGTACTTATGTTGAAGTTGTCATTTTCTCACACTCCCTCAGTGCTGCTCGGCATTTTTCCTTAGGAGGTCATAGCAAGGGAGGAAGGAAATAATAGATAATTTTTTAAAATTACTGTGCTGGGAAAGTATCTGAACTGCCTCTATTTTTATTTTGTAGCAAGTTAATACATGAGTGAGTGCAAATAAGCATTTATTATCCATTACATATATAAACATGTAATTTTAGCTTTCTCAGTTCTGCTTATTTCTTTTATTTCTTTTTTACTTTTGTGGTCAGAATGGACGTAAAGTTATATGTGGGTCGCAAACTGGAACTCTATTATTATATTCATGGGGCTGCTTCAAGGATTGCAGGTGTACATATATAGTTTTTGTTGAAATATGCATAATGCATTGTTATGATCATTGGAATGAGATTAGGAATTCCTTGTGATAAAATGTATTAATTTTTATGCTACCAATATCCTTTCCCTTTATTGATTCATTATTCGTTTCATTGTCTTAACTTCAGTGATCGCTTTGTTGATCTCTCTCAAAATCCTGTGAACGCATTGCTCAAGGTAAGCATTTGTGTAACTTCGAGTAATATTGTCAAGGAGTCTTTAAATTAAAGTGGCGGTTCTTTCCTTCCTGTTAGCTTGATGAAGATCGGGTCGTTGCTGCATCCGAGAGTGGACTCATCAGGTGAGAACTTTGATGTAGAGAGGCATCGTATTTCGGTCCACATATTAGATGTTCACTTAATCACGTGTTATTTTCATTAGTCTGGTAGGCATTTTACCCAACAGAGTAATCCAACCAATTGCAGAACACTCTGACTATCCTGTGGAGCGGCTTGGTAAGATATTCTTCTGTTTTGGCTGATATTAAGTAACCCATATTCATTTTGGGAACGGATTAATTAACTTGAGTTTCTTGACTGTCAACTCACATATGATTTATGTTTTGTGGTCTGGTCTGGCAACACTCAATAATGTGCTTTGTTTGTTTCTCTTTTCATCTTTTTGCACTCAATCGTATTATTACTTAAATATAGAGGAATTCTTAGTATAGCATTTTAACAGTTTTGTCTTGTCTTGTAGCTTTCTCCCATGACAGAAAGTTTCTTGGCAGTATTTCACATGATTATATGTTGAAGGTAAGCGTCTCTCTCTCTCTTTGATATATATTTGATAGAAAACCAACTTTTAATCGTTTGTCAATTCAACAAGTTTCTATGTATTTTACCCAATTTTTTATTCTATATTCTTGGACTTGCATGTAACATATTATCTGAGGTTGACTTCTATATTTCTATGAAATGCCAAATATTGTACTAAGTCAAGTGGTTGAATTTTTAAAGAAAATTTTCTCGTTCAAATTATAATAGGTTTTTGTTTGTCTTGGTTAAAATCTCTGCCTGGTGAATAGAAGTTCAGAAACAGTATCTTTTTGTCATTTCAATCGATTTAGGCCTAAGGAATATGTTGGAATGCTTATTCCATATTTTTGTTGTCCACACGTGGTTTTACATGCCAAGCCTTTAATGTAACTGTTCTGTTCCTCTTTGTTTTTCTCATTAATGTTTATGAATTCTCAAGACGACTACTATTGTATGTACAGTTATGGGATATGGATTTATTGCAAAGTTCTGGAAACAGTTCAAATGGTCAGACTACGGTAGATGCCCCTGTCAGTGACAATCTATTTACTTTCATGTAAGCCCCACTATCTCTCTTTGTTCTGGATGTCGGAGAGGTGTCATCCTAGCTCCACACTCTTTCTGCAATTTTCAGTGATTTTAGTAGCAAAAGAGGTTATAGTTTCTTTTCCAAGAAATGAATTGTTAACATTATACTATTAATGAATATACTGCTGTATTGTTTGTCCACTGCTGGTTTAAAGTGGGTGACATAATTAAAGACACGGTGAAGCAACAAAGTGGGATCCACTCCACACCACAACTAAAAGATGAGATGTAAAATTCGGGTGATTTTGTTGCATCTAAAATGATCTTCTAGGAGTTATCCTAAAGATTAGAAGATTAGTATGTGATGACTTAGTTTTCCCGTCATATTTATTTTCTTTTTGGTTTATGTTTTCAAGTGCTATACATATCCTTAACATTTTGTGCCATTTTGCTAAACGTCTCGGGAATCATATTAGGCCGTGTGAGTGTGATAACCATGTATGTTTTAACTACTATCTTTTGTTCTTTGCAGGGACTAGAAGAGAGAACACTAGCAAAGGACCAAACAAATAGTTTGAACAATTTTTGAACGTATACTATACATAGGATGATGTTGGCTCTACCCCCTTCACAGGTTGAACTCTCGAGTTTTCATTACAAGTTTCTGCTAGATTCTGATTTAGGAACAAGTATTTATATGATCTGAAAGTGCATATGATTTATTTCGATGCTGCATTTTTTGCTGTGGTGCCAATGAGTTATTGCTGATTTTCTCCAAGTACCTGTTGAAGAGAGTAGTAGGAAGGTTAGGTGTGTTTGCTTCGACCAATATCTTTTTTATTATTTTATTTTTGCTTTATTTTTTGTTGTACTTAGATATTGGATATTCATATTCATATGTTGGATTGAAACTGTTGATTCAGAATTTAAATTTTGAATGTGCTTGGTTTTTCATTTTCTTATTCTTTCTTATGTGTGACGTCAGATTGTTCCTTGGATTCAGGGATGGAGTTGTGGGCTAAGTTGACTTTTTCTTTGTGAAATGGACCAATATGAATAATATAGGCATAAATTGCCTATTGGTCAGCTTGGGTGGCAAGGACTTTAGATCTCAAGTTCGAATCTGAATCATTGATGTGTCTTAGGTTCTGGCCTGGGGGCGGGTGTAGGTGCCTTGGGCACGGAGGAGTAAAATATATATAGCTATATATGCATAAACTAATATGTGCGTAATTTAAAGAATGGGAAGCGTAACTTTGTTCTCATCGTTTCACGTAATGGGCTTAAGTTTGTTTATTCAAAATAGACTCATTTACTGGACTTCTACCTATCAAAGCTATGTAATAAATAAGTATTAGTGCAGTAATTACCACAAATGTAAATACAGAAACACATTCTTATGAAAGCGGGAATTCTTCACTTTTTTCCTTTTTGAAAAAGGACTTGAAAACTAAACAATAACAAGAAGTCAACTTGCTATTTTGAAAAGAAATGTATCGTGGCATAAAATTACTGCTCCAAAAAGAAACTGGTGCGAGGTGATGAAGGTGGTGTTGAAGACGAGCGTGGCAGCGATGGTGCTGGAGCTATAGACCGGTTTCGGTGCTCATGCAAGCTCTGACATCTACATAGCAACAGACCAAGATCCTGCTCAAAATGTGGAGAGCTCTCACTGCAAATTGATGACTATAGCAAAGTTGATGGATTCCTTTATCCAACTCTAATTTTGAGATTTGAGGCAATGCATAGGCGTGGTGTCCGAAAAGTCTATGAATACTATAATCATTGAAGATTTTTCTTCTTTTGAACCATAAGAAAATGAATTGGCTACATTAAAATACTTCCCATTATTACGATAATAGTATCAAAAAACATTTTTATTTCTATATTATTTCAGTTTTGTTAAACTAACCTGAGAACCGAATTGAAATTTTGATTCTTGATTTGATTCTTGAAAACCAAAAATTCGTCTAACCTAAGGTTTAAAGTTGAATTGTTTGGTTCTTTTTAGCTTTCGATTTAGCTGAATAAATCCTAATAGTAAAGTAGAAAACTTGTCAAAATAAGAGTCCAATAAAAATTTACATTGTTTTGAAAGTACTAAGCATGAATTTCCCACTCTCTATCGCCATACTGTCATTGCGACAAACTAATCAATATTCGTCCAAGAGATCTTGATCTTCCATATCATCATTTAATAGCAAACCACGCAAGATCACGATACTAAGTTTAGGTAATACACGAAAAAGTAATTGAAAATTTTCGAAGTTAAAACCTCGACTCAGACCAAATTTATATAGTTCAATCCTTAAACATATTAGCATATCATATACAGGAAGAAAGAGAGCTACAAAGGAAAAGCAGGAGAGAGGAAGATGATGAGGTAGAGGAAGGATAAGCAGAGAGAGGAGAGAGTACATGGAGGGAGGGAGAGAACATACATTTAACAGCTAATCTTTCATTTGTCAAGGCTAAGGAGAGAGAGAGTACATACATTTAACAGCTATTCTTTCCTTTGTCAAGGCTAAGGAGAGAGAGAGGAGAGAGAGAATGCATAAATTTAACAGCTATTCTTTCATCTGTGGAGGCTAAGGAGAAATTTTGCCAAAAGATATGTTCATCAATAAATGAGGTAGAAGAGAGTTGAGCATTATGAACTGAAATTACAACAGCCAATGGCCCATTAGCTTCAAATTACAAGACATGTACAAACTACCTAACAAAGAGACCCTCAAAAAAGAAAAGAAAAAAGTTAGCTTTTCTTCTTTCTTCCTATTCTTCAAAACTGATAACATGAAAGAAAATCTAACTCAGTCGACAAGTCTTGCGAATGATTTCGATAAGCACGAAGAGGAGAAAATATAAGAGAAGAGAAGAGAAGAGAAGATACGAGAAGAGAAGACGAGAAGATTTGAGACAACACTAAGCAGAAGTACAATCCCACGAGAGAAATCCAAAGAGAGAAATAATTGTTACAAGAATTAGGACAGTATGCGCCATCATCTCCATTTTTAAAAATCCTTGTAAAATATGAATCCTCAACCCCAATCAAGCATTAAGAATCCATCACTTCTTACTTGTTTAACGCCCTTGTTAACTTCATATTGTCTGCAACTGGGAAAACGAAATTCGAATGATCGACCCACCAAGCGAACTAGCATGCTTGCAAACAAGAGCTTCGGTGGCCTGCTCCTCGGTGTCAAACATGACGAGTGCTTGCTTCTTCCCGTTCATCTCAAAGAGCTTGGTGTTGACAATTGGCCCATGTTCCTCTAGGACAGTTGCAATTTCTTCTTCAGTTACTTCCTGGGATAGAGATGAAATGTGGATCATTTTTGTCGGGGAGCAGCAGTAGCGGTAGTTTTTTGCAGCATTTCGGTTAAAACGATTAAGATTTGAGTTAGCATATTCATGAGTATCAGCCCCTTGTGTAATATTAGGATGCTTTGAGAAGTTGACCTCCAATCTCTTGCCAAACAACATCGCTCCCTATACAAAATTCAAAAGTAATGTGAGGCATCGATACCCATGAAACCGAAACTTTTAACAAAGTTAAAGCTTCAATAGACTTCAATACATGAAGTTAGGCCTTTTAGACAAATAATGAGATTTTAATGGAAATCTGGAGCCAGAAATATCTTCCGTCAGGAAGTTGAAAATTTAACAATACAATAATAAAAATGCAATTCCAACACCTATTTCCGCTTGTCAATTAAGCTAAAGGCCTCATCACTGAATATACATACTAACCTTTATTTCTTCATTAAAAAAAAAAAAACAAAGTCCAGAGGGTAATTACAAAATTCCAACGAAATTCCCAAAGAGAGACATTAAACCTGATAAAAGACCTAACCTTCTCCTAATGCCTCTCAACACCTTCAAAGACACATTTGTTTCTCTTAATCCAAATACTTTTTGCAAAAGAAATCATAACTGAATATAAGAATTTAAACATTGTTATAATTATTTTTGTTAAACAACTCGTACAACTGGTAGAAAATAAAACCCCATGCATGAGAAAGAAATTTAAATCAACAAACCTTCAAAAAGTGCACAGCTAATTCTGCCTGGAATCCATCTCCCATCTGAACTAGTGCATGATCGGGTTTATTTCGGAGAAGCTTAATTCTTACAATGTTACCGTAGATGGAGAAAAGGTTAAAAAGCTTGTCTTCATCTATTCTCTGTAACAAATTAACGGTGGTGTCAACCAGCAAAACAAAAGCTTGAGCAGGAGGACTCTAACGAAGAAGAATAAAATATAACTCACATCAGGATCCAGATTGGAAACAAGGACTGTACACCTGTCGTTTGTCCCACTGACACCAGGTGGCAGACCTCCACCAAATGCAGCAGCAACAGCAGCTGCATTGGCCATCTAAACATCATGTAAAAAAAGACACATTAATGGACATCAACAGTAACAACCAATTTTGTACACAATTTTAGATCTTAAATTATTCCAGAGTTCCTGATGTGGTCAACCATATTCATCTTATGAAAATCCTGTAAAACTTATCTTTCAAAGAATATCACAGATCTCAAAGCTAAAGGATTGCACGTGAAGTACAATCATTATAGAGTAGGACTAAAATATTATTCTAAAAGGGAAGAAAAACCCCTCATAATTAATGAATGATCTAATAGTTGCTAATATTCTTCACTCATCTCAACCATGATTTGACAGGAGCAATACACACCTGTGGAAATGCAACTGGAACCAAAAATAAAAAGAAAAAGACAATCGTAAGTATAGGATTTTTTTAGGAGAAAAGAAATTAAGAATATGCTGATTGAGCATCAATGTATGAAGTAACAAATATATTCATTATATGATAGAAACCACCACACCTGGTCTTGCACCAGATGCTTGAAGTGCATACATGCCTCCTGCATCCCCATAGCCAGGCTGTTGCACATCGAGACCAAAAAAAAAGGGGGATTTCAGAAGGAAAGTGACAAATGTTATAAGAAATTTAAAATGTGGTGGTACATACTTGGGACGACCGGCCTTTTGGTTCAGAAGGCAGGCTAGGATTTGTGAAATCCCTGAAACAGTATCGAGAGGAAATATCCATATTGATACAATACATGATGCAAATAAGTAAATTAAGTGAGGATAAGTTATTCAACAAACCTTGAACGTTCGTTATTGTAGTTCACCTGTAACTCGTCAAGACTGCACAATAAAACCGATAAATCTGTAATTCATCAAGTCAAGATGGAAAAATCACAAGCATTTCATGATTAGTTATGAAACCTACTTGGAGAACTGAATGTCTAGTTGACAGCAACCATCATATATATTGCGTCCCTACAAGAGTGGCAGAAGTGTCCATCCTTTATGTAAATAGACCAAGATGAAAACCTCTTAAAGAAAGGATCAAAGTCGAAATGACGGGTCCAACAAAAAACTGGTATTACTTGTAGTGCAGTCCTAGCAGAAACAGCACACTGGCGTGATTGATACTGAATGAGAGCCTGAAACCCTACAAACATGCAATTAATATGTTCATGCACAACTCTGAAGATTCATTTAAAAAGCAAAAATACCAGTAGAAAACAACAGATTTAGCAACAAGTTCTAGATGAAAGGCTCAATTTTTATTTGAGGACCCACTCCTGCTTGTGCGAAAAAACACCTAAGGGGAAAAGGAAAGAAAGAACAATTCCAATAGAATAGAATTTTAATAAATCCATGCATTAAGAGAGATATGAGAGGGGGAAGAAGAGAGAACTTAATCTAACCAGCTGACTTCTGAAATGTGACGATCTTCTCCACAAATCCATGTGGAAAAAATACTTGATGCAGCACTTCCACTGTTATGGGATATAGCATGTGATGGATTGTGACTAAGAGTATTCGATTTGGCTGCTCCAGAGAGTGACCAAGAGTGTATGCACATGGAGAAGGGTGAGAGAGAAGGAAATAAATTGAGAAGAAAAATCCAAAAATATTATATAT